CTATGGTTTTCAAAATATTCCGTCATGTGTACAGCGTCTGAATTAAAATCAAAACAATGAAATGACTTGATGACAACTGAATGTTTAGAGCAAAAAAAAAAAGTCCTATTTGTATTTGTGGCCGGTCGGTCAGCACATCTCCATTCAGATGTAACTTCTTTTCCCTCTAAAAGACATACACAGTATAGGAAAAGCTTAGACATCTTAAGAAAATTAGCATTTGATGTTGCATCTGATGACTTATCAAACAGAACAAGCTACCAGAAAGATTGTTATTTGCGCAAACACACACCTGACAAGCGTGCACACAAAGACACCACTCTCGAGCATAAACATAATCTGTTGTCTTAAAAGGAAAGTTCACCCAAAAATGAAAACTCTATCATTATTTACTTTCCCTTCACTTGAACCAAACCGCTTTCAATTTCTTTCTTCTGTGGAACACAAAAAATTTGAAGAAAGATAAAAAACCTGTGACCATCCTCTTAAACAGTGCACTACCTGACAAAAGTCTTGTCGTCGATCCCAGTTGTAAGAGCAACATTTAATAACTTGACTTCTAATTGATCATTTTGAAAAGTCGCAGAAGGTCAATTTTACTGATGTATCATCTGTTGAGCTGCATCCCAATCCTCACAAACACTGTAGAAGACCTACTAGAACCCACATGGATCAAAGATTCTCAAAGAGATCAGTCAAGTTTGGTGGGTGAAAAATCATGGTTTGGGGTTACATTTAGTATGGGGGCGTACAAGAGATCTGCAGAGTGGATGGCAACATCAACAGACAAATTCTCCAGCAGGATAGCGCTCATTATACTTCAGCCTCCACATCAAAGTTCCTGAAAGCAAAGAAGGTCAAGGTGGTCCAGGATTGGCCAGCCCAGTCACCAGACATGAACATTGAGCATGTCTGGGGTAAAATGAAGAAGGAGGCATTGAAGATGAATCCAAAGAGTCTTGATGAGCTCTGGGAGTACAGCAAGAACGCTTTCTTTGCCATTCCAGATGACTTTAATAATAAGTTATTCAAGTAATTTCAGAGATGTATGGATGCAGTCTACCAAGCACATGGAAATCCTACACAATATTCATTCTTTTTCCACTGCAGCATGACTTTATATTCTATACTGGACATTATTTCTGTTACGTGACAAAACTTTAATGTAAACAAAGTCAGACCTGTCTGTTCTAATGAAATAATTAAAAATCAAGGCATGATCATATTTTATTTTGGTAAATAAGCGTAATCTTGAGGTCTTTGCCTTTCATATAAGCCAAATCTGTAACCAAATGATCAACTAGAAGTCAAGTTATTATTTGTTGTTCCTATAACTTGGATAGGCGGTAAGACTTCTGTCAGATATATGTTTTTCCAGTCAATAGTTACAGGTTTATAACCAATTAAAGGCGGGTAAATTCAATTTTTGGAGTGAACTATCCCTTTAAATTATGATATTTAAACATTAACTCACCCTCAAGTGTTTCCAAACCTTTGGTTTTTAGTTTGTTAGTAAGTTTTTTATTCTGTTGAATACAAAAGAAGATATTTTGAAGAAAGCTGAAAACGTAATTATCCACTTCCATAATAGGGAAAGAAAATACTATGGAAGTCAATGATTACAGGTTTTCATTCTTCAAAATATCTTCTTTTGTGTTCAACAAAAAATAAACTCAAAGGTTTGGAAGTGAATAGGGAGTTAATGATGACAATTTCATTTTTGGGTGAAATTTCCCTTAAGCGAAGGTTAGAAGGAAGAAATCTGATGCATTTTTTTTAAAGCATTAGGTCTTAATAAAATAAACATGTTGTTATTAACGTTAATGAAAGAAAATTAATGCATAAAGTGATTATTTTGTTCTCTTTTAAAAAAAATATTTTGTCTTTTTGTTGCTAAAAATTTTTAAAAATGAACAATATTGTGGTAATATTTTAGCATAGTAATGTTAATAACAAAAAGATGGAAGAAAAGATGCATCATGACAGTAAGTTTTATAACTTGAGTGAATTCAGTTTGTGAATCAACAGAATCAGACTGAATCAAATTGGGAGTAAAGTAAGGCTCACAACTCTAAATATGTTCACATGGTTCCTTTTCAAAATGCATATTAGTTGCACTAAAGCACATCATCAGTTAGTGGAGATGTGAAGGATGACTTTTGGCCGTACCTTGTGTGGAAAGCTGAGCAGCTTGGGAAAGCAGAGTAGTGATGTTGAAAGCGGACGGTCCAGCAGTAAAAAGCTTATGAAGCATAGACTGTAAGGAAGCTTGTGTGACAGCAGCTGTGAGGACTTGAAGGAAGACAAAGACAGAAAAAAAACCACAAACACACACACACAAACAGTCAAAGCAGTCCTACACATTGAAAGCATTTTATCTGTGAACATCAAGTACTTTTGGCTAACTATAATTTCACAACGTGGAAAGTAAATAGTACATGTCAAGGTTGAAAAATGGCTGAAGTATGGAGCTTCAAATCTGACAAAACAATCTGAATTTGAATTGTGTTAATTTAAATTGGCAACTGCATTTTATTAAAACTGAATATTATATGGAAATAAAATTTGTTTGAATTTGTCTTTTTTTTTTTTGAATATTGAGCATCTGAAATAAGTAAGTTTGAAAATACATCTATAAAACTTTCCTTATAAAAAAGTCGGCTGTCTTTAATGTCAGATGTCCAATATTTAAGAAATTCAAAACAATATTTATTGGCATATAATATTTAGTTTTGGTAAATTACAATTGTCAATAATGAAAAATTAACAATTCAAAATCAGACCGTTTTGTCATATTTGAAGCTCCATATTAAAGCTCAACATTCTTAAATTTTTTCTTCATTTAAACTGACAATTACATTTTAATAAAACTAAATATTATATGATGTTAAAATAGTTTTGAATGTCTTATTTTCAATATTGAACAACTGAAAATTAGTTTAAAAATACATCTATAAAAATCTGCCTTATGAGAGCGTAATCCCACTATGTACAGTTGCCTCGAACCGGCCCAAAGCACGCTTGTCCCCTCTCACGTCTCCCCCGATGGCCCCCACTCACATTACATTCGAGCCTGGGCACGCTTACGTCATCGATGATGCGCTGGTCAGTAGCGATCTCGCTCAGCACAGTAGAGATTTCTTCAGTTGTATCGTTTAAGTTGTTTGGGATGCGGTGACACGCAGTCAGATATTTCGCCAAACAGATCAGCTACTTTTGACGCTCATAAACAATCATAAAGTCCTCGTTGAAGTCCCAGTGAAGTGTTTGCGTCTTCAATAAACTACGACAGTTTGCATTCATTGAACAGTAAGAATGAATAATGAATCCATATTAAACAGTCCCTTAAAAGTCAGGTCTCGCTTTTAGTTTCGGGCTCAGGCGCGTTTTGCACTCGTACCGCGCCAAAGCCCAAGTAAACCGTGCACAGGCACACCTCTTCTAGCCGGGCCTGGGCCAGCCAAGTGAACCGTGCCTGAGCCCGATTCAGAGCACTTAGACGTCTCAAATGACGCGGGAAACAGGCCTGGGCACGGTTCGGATAGCATAGTGTGAGTACGCCCTTAAAAACCAGATGTTCAATATTCAAGTTAAGAAATCGTAATTCAAAACAGTTTTTAATAACACTTAATATTCAGTTTTACTAAAATAACAATTGTCAATGTCTGAAACTTACAATTCTGTTCTGTCATATTTGAAGCCCCAGATTGAAGCTCAACATTTTTAGCAGTTTAGATATACAAGATAAGAATCATAGATATATACACTAGATGTCGCCTGGCCTATTGTTGTCTATTGGACGGAATGCGTCAATAGCTCGCCATCTTGCTACAGGGTAGCGCTCCTTTGAAATGAATGCGGAACCAAGGTACAGTGGAGGACTGTGGCCATCCAAAGCCATAGATATACACATATACACATATATCTATGATCGGGAGTTTTCCTGGATGTTAGTATGTCATTTTTTTTTCCAATTACGAAAATTATAATTTTACATCACTTTTCTACATTGATGGATCAGTGACCGCACGGCCATTCCTGACAAAAAGCTTGTGTTTGTGTGTACAGAAATGTACTATTCACCCTCCCTGTTAAATTTAATATAATCCGTGTCCTGAAACACAGCTCCTCTCCTGCTTTCACTTCTCATACTGACGGAGGGAGCGATTAGTTTGTGAATGAATGCCCCGAACGACTCTTTCACTAACGTAAGCCGACAATAATACAAGTTTCTGGCAGCGCAGCATCTCGTTGTCATATTTCTTTTGCATTGTTTGCTGATTTTATTCAACAAAACTAGCATAAGCCGAGTGTTTAGTGCGAGTTGGAGCTGCTTTGCCGTATGGTGAATGCAGTAAGTGACTGTTATCATCAATAACGTTACCTTTTAGAGCACAAAAGTTCAGAACATACAAAAACAGAAAAAAACATAATATTACCTATGAAATGTTCTGCCTTTGTGCTTTGTTTTCTTTGTTTGCTCGTTACTACACCCGTAGACAGCGCTAAAGTCCCGCATCTTCACGCAATAACACTGTCTTGACTAGTGCGGTTGAATGACATTTGTCCTGGGAGCACTGTACCAATGTGGCGGCGCTATTAACGCATGCTCAGGGTCCCTATGCGATATCTAGTGTATACATCTATGGATAAGAATATACAGTGCTCAGCACAAAATGGCTGAAGTATGGAGCATATAATTTGACAAAATCTGAATTTGAAATTTGAATTTGAATTCAGTATCAAAGCCAAAACTAAAACTAATCTAACAAAAAACAACAACTTAGTATCACAGTCAAGAAAATTATATGTTGGGGACTAATATTAAACAAAATGTTAATAAATAAGAAGAATCAAGAAAAACAGCGCCTATTTAGCTGGAAGAGCGTAGTGATGTGCATTGATTTGAGTTACTTTCCATGATAAAGCATAAGGAAAATGAAGTAGATTATTAAATAAGTGTAAAACAATCAGTTGAGCTTGTTAATTTTTTTTATTTATTTAATGAGCAAATAAGTAAAAGTGCAGAGCCTCCATGCGATAGTATTATGTATCCATGATATCACAGAGGGACGTTAATGCGATCTGAAAATGTTGTATATATCGCTCAACACAACAGTATATGTAGAGAAAACTCTCATATCACTTCGTTTGTAGTGTGCTGCAGAACAATCTAAGATTGAAGGGTTATATGGCTCTAAAGCAAAAAAGAATTGGCACACTCCTACCCTACACATGATGTATAAACTGATGACTGGGTGGTAAGTGGAAGTGCTAAGAGCTGTAAGTGGGATTGGGCCTAAACCAGGGGTGGAAGGCCGGTGTCCTGCTAAACTAGCTCCAACGTCCTCCAACACACCACCCTGGAAGCTTCTAGTACACCTATAAAGAGCATGATTAGCTGGTTCAGGTGTGTTTAACTGTGATTAGAATTAAAATATGGGGAACGCCGGCTCTCCAAGAGCAATTTTGCATACAAATGGCCTAAACAAATGCAACCATAAGTCAAAATAAAAATAATCAAGTGAATTCATATAAGTGAACTCTCTCTACACAAGTGAAAAAACTATGCAACACTTAGCAGTTACCTTCATTAATTTTGCCCATGTCTACATTGCCGTGGTTCATCTGCAGGGTGGCCTGCAGCGCTGGCAGCAGCTGTCGGAGGAGTGCCGGATCCTGCAGGAGGGTGGAGGCTGAAGACACAGGCACTGTGGAGGAGGACGAGGACGAGGAGCTGGATGTGCTGGAGGGAACGATGGACGAAGGCTGAGAATAACCAGAGTTTGACAATGGCTTCTCTGCTAAAGAGGATTCTGTGGGAATAGAGAGGGATGTGTTTAGAACTAATTAATCCAACAGCATAATGAACTTATTAAATTAATAACACTGAAGTTAAGAAATTAGTTTGGAGTAAAAGCGTCATTATACCCTACCTGACTAAAGTCTTGTCGCCTATCCAAGTTTTAGGAAAAGCAAATAAAAATGTGACTTCTAGTTGATCATTTGGTATCAGAAGTGGCATATAAGAAAGGCAACGGCCTCTAGATTACGCTTATTTACCAAAATAAAATATGATCATGCCTTGATTTTTAATTATTTCATTAGGACAATAAGGTCTGACTTTGCTTAGACAAAAGTCTTGTCACGTAACAGAAATAATGTCCAGTATAGAATATAAAGTCCTGCTGCAGTGGAAACAGAATGAATATTGTGTAGGATTCCCATGAGCTTGGAGGACTGCATCCATACATCTCTGCAATGACTCAAATATTGTATTAATTAAAGTCATCTGGAAGGGCAAAGAAAGCGTTCCTGCAGGACTCCCAGAGTTCATCAAGATTCTTTTGATTCATCTTCAATGCCTCCTCCTTCATCTTACCCCAGGCATGCTTAATAATGTTCATATCTGGTGACTAGTCTGGCCAATCCTGGAGCACCTTGACCTTCTTTGCTTTCAGGAACTTTGAACTTTTTGCTATGAATAGCTGCTGCAACATATCGCTGGTGCTTTCCTGCCTTAATGTGCGACTCGACAGCTTTGAGCCCCATGGTTCCTAACGAAAAGGCCCTTTTGAAGAATTTACACATTGCCGCGTGGTTAAATTAACATTTTCCCATATTTGCATTTTGAACTTCACCTCGACAACCACGTAATGACAGCATGTAGGTGCAGACTGGTGTAAGCGTCTGTAGCCGACCTACCGTAATAAGCTAATAAATCACAGAGGCGGTTATTTCTCTCTTGTTTAACACATACTAAATAAATTAACTATTAGAAGTTTTAAGGTGGACCACTGTGCTTCCCTATCGTCATTAAGCACACCGGCTGAAAATGTAATACCTACAGCTACTTTACGGTAAATTTAAGACAATTTAAGACCTTATATCCCGGATTTAAATTTAAGAAATTAAGACTTTAAGGACCCGCGGGAACCCTGGAAGATTTACAAATAATTACGAAGCCGGCTTTACTGACAAATGCATATCAAGCAACAGCATACATTTATATATATATATATATATATATATATATATATATATATATATATATATATATATATATATATATATATATATATATATATATATATATATATATTAGGGCTGTCAAAATTAGCGCGTTAACGCACGTGATTAATTTGAAATATTTATTGCGTAAAAAAAAAAAAAAACTCAAATAACGCAGCTGCAGTTGTTTTTTTTTTTTCCCTGTTGTAGCCGACGTGTGTTCAGGGCAAGCGCGTCCATAGACATGATCTAGCAAGCGAACCACCCAGTCCTCACATACATCCGCTACACCCACCCCCTCCCTCACGGTCCTCAGCCTTTCATATGAATAAAACGGCATGATTGATGTTTGCCTAGAGCGCCAATTTAGCTTGCTCTGGCCCTGCGCGTGTTAAACGTGCAAAGAAATATGCCGTTTCCACCAGAGTTTCATGCAATTTCGGGTGTTTCATTTTTAATATTTAGACTTTAACGGCAGTTCAGCAGTTCACTCTCAATCAGCAGATTTTCATTCAGGATATTTTAATGGAATTTGATAACGCATGGCGAATGGAAAGAAAAACCTTCACATTTCGGGACTCGCGTGGTCATTTAAGATAATCAAAAATCGCTGTTTACATGGTCGACTCTTGATCAGTATTATCTTAATCATCAAAGCTGAGTATTGGTGTCCATGTGAATGAAAGTGCCAGATGAATTCGCAAGCTGTCAAAAACATTTCTCTGCCCTTAAGCTGCGTCCCTCAAATGTTTCATAAAGTTTGACGTACTTCCCCCCTTTTGTAAAGCGTCTGCTTCACGTTCCTCTGTCAGAATCTTTGCTTGTTAAATACAGCCATACTTTATAATGCTTAGTTTAAGCAAATTTGATGAACGCGATCGTGCGTGTTTGATGAATCAGAAGGGATCCCTCTCGCTCACCGGCACTGCGCGCGTTGTCTCTATCTCCTGTGTGTGTGTGTGTGTGTGTGTGTGTGTGTGTGTTTGTAGTACACTTAGAATCCAACATGGAAAGCATTTTTGTTTGTTATTGGCATGGATTGTTTTGAAATTTAAATGGCACTTACATGCCTGTGTTTTTACTTCAGTAATAAATACGGCATTTCGTGATTAATCATTATTAATTACAAAAAAGTGTGATTAATCACGTAAATTTTTTAAATCATTTGACAGGCCTAATATATATATATATATATATATATATATATATATATATATATATATATATATATATATATATACAGTTGAAGTCAGAATTATTAGCCCCGTTAAATTATTAGACCGCTTGTTTATTTTTTCCCCAATTTCTGTTTAAGGGAGAGAAGATTTTTTCAACACATTTCTAAACATAATAGTTTTAATAACTCATTTCTAACAACTGATTTATTTTATCTTTGCCGTGATGACTGTAAATAATATTTTAAATTATATTTTTAAGACACTTCTATACAGCTTAAAGTGACATTTAAAGGCTTAACTAGGTTAATTAAGTTAACTAGGCAGGTTAGGGGAATTAGGCAAGTTATTGTATAACAGTGGTTTGTTTTGTAGACTAGTGAAAAAATATAGCTTAAAGAGGCTAATAATTTTGTCCCTAAAATGGTTCATAAAAAATTCAAAACTGCTTTTATTCTAGCCAAAATAAAACAAATAAGACTTTCTCCAGAAGAAAAAATATTATCAGACATACTGTAAAAATGTCCTTGCTCTGTTGAACACCATTTGGAAATTATTTAAAAAAGAAGAAAAAAAATCGAAGGGGGCTAATAATTCTGACTTCAACTGTATATATATATATATATATATATATATATATATATATATATATATATATATATATATATATATATATATATATATATATATATATATATATATATATATATATATATAT